GTTCTTTTATTACTTTTCTTGGTCGTTCCTTTGTGTCTTTCTGTTTCCTTTAACTCTTGCAGATTTGTTGGAGTTAGATTGTCGCAAAATAACTTGATTTGAGCTTGTTTAGTTCAATAACGAACTGAAAGAGGGAAGTTAAGTGAGGGAAAAAGGCAAGAGGTGTGAGCAACACTTGAGAGAAAAGCCAAGTTCTACAGTGTGCAAAACACGAGCGTTGAGTGCCATTCTGTGAGAGAGTGGAGTGAAACACGTAAAGGAGTGTTGAGAGGTCCTTTTATTTTCTATTTCTAACATTCCTTGCAGGTTTCGATCATGTCAAGCGGTGATGACAAAAAACACCAAGTGGATTATTCCTTCATGCTCAAAGCTATGCAACAACAATTTCAGAGGCTAGACATCATGTTTGGTGAAATTAAAGACAAAATGGAGAAGAAAGATGCAGCCATTGCCAAGTTATACCAAATACAGAATGGAAGTCCAAATTTGCATAATCACGATCTTAATGACAATGATGAAGATGCATTCAACGATGATGCCCAGAACTCAAATTTCAGCATGGACAGATTTATGAGAAGTAGAGGGGGTCAAAGATATAGATTTAACAAGGTTTAAGTACCATTTTGGTCCCTCAACTTTTCACTTTGGCACCAAAATTGTCCCTTACCTTTAAAAAGTACCAAAATTATCCTTAAACTTTCATTTTTGATACCAAAATGGCCTTCCGTCAGTTAAATGATAGGTGGCACGTTAAAATGCCAGCAAATCAATTCTTTTTTTTTCTTAATCAATGACGTGGAAAAAAAAAGTATAGTTGGCCATTTTTTTTATGAGTTGGCATTTTTATTTAATTTAAAAGTAATAATTCTTTTTTTTTTTCACCCACGTCAGATTTCTTCTTCCTCTTCTTCCTTTCTCCTTCTTCTTCCTTTCTTAAACCCAAATTTGGGTTTTTCTCAAACCCAGGAAAAAAAAATAATGCATTACTTTCGCTCATTCTTCTTCTTATTCTCTCTCTTTCTTCTCCCTTCTTCTTTCTTTCTCAAACTCAAATTTGGGTTTTTCTCTCAAAACTCAGATCTGGGTTTTTCTCTCAAACCCAGATCTGGGTTTTTCTCAAACCCAGATCTGAGTTTCATCACATAAATTAATGATCTAATGAAGCTGATGATAATAAAAAAAGCAATACAAATCATTCCATTATATTAAACAAGGCACATCTACGGAAAAGTTGCCATATCATCTCTTTTTCCTCTTTCACTTTCTCTCTCTTGTTCCTTCTTCTTCCTCTCCAAATCAAACCCAAATCTGGGTTTTTCTCAAACCTAAATAACTCCTCCAACACCACTGAAACACAACAAAAGAGAAACTAAATCACAATCCAACAAAAAAACCTCGAATACACGCATTCGAATTTCACCAAATCAAGACAAATCACGTGGATGCGAATAAATCAAAAAGAAACAGTACCGAACCACCGCAGACTCGATCTGTAGCAAACCATAACCCAAAATGCTAGTGAAATCAGCACAGAAACCAGCGAGAACTGATTTAAAGAGAACCGAAAATTCTAGCTCCATCAAGACAAAGAAAAGTGGCAAAATCAGGACCAAGAATTAACCATAAAAGTTTGAAAAAATAGAACAAAAATGAAGCTCTAACCAGTGGCTAGCTTGTTCTTGAGAGAAACAGAGATTCTCCACAAACAACCACAAACAATTTCTCCATAAAAGAAACAAAGAAACAAAACCAAAAACAGAAGAAGTCGACCTTGGTGGAGAGACAAGCACCCGAGGCAATGGCAACGATTGTGATGGCGACGTGAGTGATGGTGGAGGTGATGGCGCCATGGATAGCGAGGATAACACCAGAAGAAGCAGCGGTGATGGCGTTTAAAGAAACAAAAATTGTGAATCTGCTTCTGCTTAATTACCTAAGCTGGGAGACACCCAGATCTGGGTTTGAGAACTGGGTTTTTCTCAAACCCAGATCTGGGTTTTTTTCAAACAACCCTAGAACAAAATCCTCA